TAACATCATGCCTAACTTCCTTGGAACAATAATTGTTCTACGCTGTGGAAAGATGTTAGATTAACTAGTCTATGATCAAAAATGAGTAAGATTTTTTTTTTATTTATTAAATACAAACCTAATTGTGCCAGGCAGTGATTTGCTGCTTATAATTTAAACTGGCCCTCACAATTAAAACTCAGACACTTGTGAATCTTTCATTTGCACTTTAGAGAGGAAAGGAAATAACTAGTAGAACAGTTATTATTAGTTCCAGATGCAGCTCTACAACTGGTAGAAAATTTTGCTGCTCAGGCACAAGTTGAGATCAGACTTACAAGTTTGACAGTTATAAAGAGATATAGGTGCATGAAAGCAGCTGTTTCTGTTGCTGTCCTTAGGGACAGAGCACATCAACCACATAGCCAGGGCAGCGTTTTAAAGGTATTTGCTTGCTTCATACGCACTTGCTACTTTTCAAAATACGGGGGCAACTGATGAAAAGAAAATGAGAGACATCTGTTACCAGCTTCAATAACAAAAATCCCTTGCCATAAAATAAGTTTCCTGAGACTGAAGAACGTGTTGTTACTGTTACTAATATTTGCATAGCTGTCAGAAGCCCAGGCTTTATAACTGCTTACTTCTTCAGGGACCACTGACCATTATTTGAGGTGCTGGCTACAGTCTGAGTTATGGCTTTTCAATAAACGTTACAGCCTTCAAATTCCATTACCAGTGCAGTCTGAATTTCATCTGCTCTCAAAATAAAATAAAAATGAGCAGAAACAAGTTATGGGTCTTTGGCACATACTCTGCTCAGAAATTTAGCCTATTTAAGACAACAGCATTTTCTCATGGCGTCCTGTTTAACAGCTAAGACATGGTACACCTAAAGGGTTGGGACGGTCAAAGACACTCAAACGTAGGGATGGTAAGTCTGGATGATAAATCATGTCCTCTTATTTAGACGCTTGAACCCTCTAATAACAAAGATGCTGTATACAGACTTCCTCTGAAAGGATGCATTAACTACTGTTGCCTACGAAAGTCTAGAACAGCTAAATTTAAGGGTCTCTATTCATCCTAACTTTCCAGTCAACTCTGCATTACAGGAGATGGAGAAAAAGTATGGTATGAACTCTTCCAATAATTCAACAGGAAAATATCCAACATTTGTGTGCCAGCGTATAACTGGGCTGGCAGTACAACCGAGAAAAACTGGTAGCTGTCCATGTTACACCCGGTAACAGGTCTATTTGTGGAAACAGCTCTAAGCTGAAGATGTCCTATATCACCATCTTTCTAATGACCCCTTATGCAACTATGTTACATTTCTGCATCTCCTTTGATGTCAAGGAAGAAGAGACCTTATAGCTAAACAAAATGTTTTTAGCATCAGGAAATTTAAATGCAGCATTTTCCCTTGAGGGTTGCAGAGCGCTCTTACTGGCTGAGCACCCAGCTGTGTGCCCACAGCCACTATGGACAGAAGAAGGGTGCTGACTAATGGGAACCTAGAGTACATTTTCATAAAGAGAGCAGGACTTCATCTGAAACTGAAAGTTTCCTACACAATTCCTATGGTTGGCAAGTAACCCACAGCTATCCAGTGCTGAAGAACTTGTATTCTCAGGTCATTAGGCTCACCAGTGACAAAAATAAAATGGGACACTGGGTAGTTGCTGGTGAAGAGTTATCACAGACCAGCACATCTTCAGGAAATTGTTGTACAGGCACAAGATCTTTTTTTCTAAGTCAGCAAATTATATTTCAAAAGAGGCTTTTTTTTTTTTTTTTTTTTTTGGTTAGAATCACCAGGGATTTATTAAGACTTAGGAAAAAATCTCCAAGCTTGCTGAATAGGTAACATGCACAATAAAAGTACTTGAGGAAGCAACTGCGAGGCATTGATCCAAATAAACAATCACCTGCTGGGACGTACAGTTTTCCCTTGTAGTCATAAAAATTTTGAAAAGAACTGAATGCAAAAATAGATAGATAGATAATATAGGTGACTTTGACAGAAAATTAAACTAAATGTCTTGTAAAATGAGAAGTGCTGTTCCTTCTCCCATGGAAAATGAAATGGTAAGAGCGGTAACTCCAACACCAACACCCAAACCTTCCCAACGAAAGACACAACCAATCTTAGCTCCAGGGCCAGCATAACAGGAGGCATAAAAGGAGAGTGGTGAAAAGCCTACCAACAACACAAGATGAAATATCAGTCACAAGGGAAGTAAGGTCACTATTTCTGCTTCCTTAGGAACTCATTCTTTATATAATCTGTTCTTGACACATCACAACGAATAATGTAAATGCAGGAGACTGGTACCCAGCTTGTATTTGAAAAATGCTAGATATGCTGAAGTGAGTATTTAGTACTCCACAAAAGTATGGTGTAAAAAGCATGTGCCAAATTTCACTTCACTATCTTACTCATTCCTAGGAACAGAGTACATCTCAAGGAAGCCACAATAATTTCCTTAGCTCTAACAGGATTAAATGAAACCTTCAGTACTGAGTTGATATAAAATATCACTATGTTTTTAACCAACACAATCTGACCAATGCAGCATGACTGCATTAGTGGAAAGGACTACGGTGCAAATAATTTGGTGTCTAAGACCATTTACGCACAGGCCAGCTTCCGTGAAATCCAAAGCCCTGCACTGGAACACAGAGCTAACTCTCTAATCACCAAAGAAAGGCAAAGGAGGCTAATTCACTCAATGACTTTCTAGACCATTTGAAAATTAATTCAGAGACCATCTAGAAGAGTTCCCCCATTCCAAACCAGAAGTTGAATCCATCATCAGTTACCTTGACTCTCCCAAAGAGTCCTTTCATCAGTATAACAGTAACATCATTTTTGAAAGAATTATCACCCTTTGAATGGATGCTCTCTAATACAGTAATAGACTGAATCAACCACTTTTGCATATTGTGAAGGTGAAATCTGGTATGCTAAGAGATGCAGAAGAACATCAGTATTAGAACTGAGGGCCTGGAAACTTCAGGCTCTGATGGGGATGAACCACAACTTCCCTCTCTTAACCCTAAGTTAGAAGACTCATACATTTTTAAAATTTCTATTATATACAGAATTGTAAAGTTAACGTATAAAACTAAACTTGTTTTCTCTGAAAAGCTCCCTACTGCATATATCATTTGAAGATCTTATCTACTGCTAGAGCACTAAACATAGGAAATCTATATGGGTAACGTGAACTTCAGATATTTCCTTGGAAAAGAACAAATCACGGCATAAAAAAGCTGAGAACTAAATCATAATCCTGTTGATTTAGGAAGGCAAATACAGAGGACAATACTAAGATCCTGAAACAGTTTCCATAATTGGACCTTTGTATTCCTTTTCTGCTGCATAAAATTGCAGTGACTTAATTTCCACATGGAAGAAGTTTTTTATGAAAAAGTAGCAGGATTGGAAAGGAATGCAATACTCAAGTACCATCATCTCTGAGCCAGAACTGTCTAGACTGATGAATTACAATGTGCCTCAAAAATAAATACAAAAAAGTCTGTGCAACTGTGGCAGATAAGGAAAAGTCTGATTAAAAAAAAAAAAGGGATGTAACCAATGATCAAGGATTCCCTTTATCATGCATTAAAACATGTTACCGCAAAGATGTTATACTGCAGTGGAAACAGCACAAGAAGAAGCTGCAATCTGCTGACATCTGACAGAGTTGCACATTTTAGGAATACATCACCTTAATAATGTTTGTCTTTCAATGGTGATAGAGGCACCTTCCAATCTTAAAGGTGAAAGGGGTGTGTAATGCATTTACAGCTTCAATTGCCTCATAGGTTTGCTTAGGAAGGCTATTTGGCAATTGAAGTTCTACCCTTAGTTAGTCATACCGGGGAGTGTAAAAAACACCCCTAATATGAAGAGTAAAAGCAAGCAGTTAACCTTCAGACGGTTTTATATAAAATAGCACATGCATAAATGTAATAAGTTGCACAAATTCAACCTTCGACACTGCGTAACACCTATTTACAGTTAACATTCATGTATGATTAAGGGAAGTCTAGCTTTACTCAACACAACACAACAATAGTATTTCTCTACCAGTTTACTTAGAAGATGACTGCCTTAATCCAGGATGCTCCTCAGCACATGACTTTATCATATATATATATATGCACACACACATGAAACAGGCTCTGTATTTTATAAAAACAGGGAGGTTTTTTACCACCAAAATGGAAATCTGTAGAATATTTGTATTTATGGTTAACTGGCAAGTTAACTTGTTCCAGCTTCCCAAGCAAATCACTAGGAATTCTGAAATTTTATTATCATTTTAACAATTCAATTTTTAAGAATTTATTCTGTAAGGGAGCTGGTCATACACATACATAGCTCCTTGAGTGGTGCAGGGGATGAAGTATTTACAAATGCAGCTATAGTAACAGTAACTATAAATACTGCTGATACTTTGGCAGGGGAGGTGGGCAGGGTGGGAAACAATCAGCATTGCATTGATTTTTCAGTCTGCCACTGCACAGTATCTCACTACTCCAAAAAATACTCAGTGAAATTGATCCAAATTAAGTCAAAGCAGAATATAAATTCTAACCAAATATACTTGGTGTCAACTGAAGTTCGTAATTTTGCAATATGATACAGACATTCAACCTTTATGAAAATCAGACACTAAGAAAGCTAATGACTTAACAAAAGATTACACTCAAATATCTAGGTACATGCATATGTATTTGTATGCCCTCTTTTATGTATACATCTAAATGCATAAGATATATTATAAACAAACATCTATGTTCAATAATTTTAACTTCAGATTTTAAAATTGACTGTCTGAAGTCTGATGCACTACTAAAAGCAAAAGCATCATAACATAGCTCTTACACACATAAAATACAGCATGCAAATAATACTATTTGTGTACTTTCTGTATGAATGAAAACAGGAAATTCGATGTAAAGCTAAGATGTCAACACCTCTATAAGCACAAAACAGTCATACTAACCTGTATTTTGATTGGCCAGGAGAAATTGCTGACATAGACATAGAAAGTGATGTTTGGGTTGCTCCGAAAGTTAAATTTTTCACAGGAAAAGCTATCTCTGTATTCCTTAATGTTAGCCTTAGAAACAACAGGAATCTCTTCTCCAGATATTGTTCCAGCTAAAAAAGCCCACATGTAGATATATATATTTATGACAAATATTAATCATCATTAAAGGTGCCAAAGTAAATTTTCACAAGAAACTCTTGAATTACTTTTGGTGTTTTCATTCTACAACTTTAATAACCTTTTATTACAGTTTACATGGCACATCAAGTATATTTCACATACATACAGAGAAGTCACTGAAACTCTTACTCTGGTTTCAAGATTATGAATTAATCATAAAAGTGATAGAATTTTAGAAGAAAGTTGTGTGGTCAGATAAACAGATAATATGCTTTCCTCTAGTAATTTACATTCCACTTCCATAAAAACTCATAGGTTAATAAAGGTTGAAAGAGAATTTGTCTACATCTTACACTACAGTTGTAGAGTTTTAGTTGTTCTTGAAAGCTTTAATAACATACCTACTAATAAACATGTATCATTTTTGCAAATATATAGGTGACTGCACTAAGTGAAAATAAAGGAGTAAATAGAATTTACTAACTATAGTATGTTAAAATACTTCAGATTACATTGAAGAAGAAATTAATGAGTTTTTGTAAGACAAACTCTGAACCTTCTTTATTTTTTTTTTTTTAATTTTAGTAAGATTTCATTTTAAGCATAATGCTTCTCCTTGGATGTGTTTTCAGAAAGTCAATAGAATCAATTCAGAGAAACTGTCTAAATAAAGCTTTTCTTCCTCCTTAAAACAAAGAAGAGTAATGAGGTTCAAAGTTGGAGAAAAACAGATAAGCAGCCCCTTTTATCAGCATACACAGAAGAACTTTATTGTTTGATATCAATGTTAAGGTTAATAATTAAATTTTTAGCTTGAACACTGAAACAAAGAAATAAAATCTCAGTCTCTGCAGTAGTTAAGGAAGCAATTTATCTTAATTAAAATCACAGCATTTCATAACACACTCATTTAAAAAATTTAAATAGACTACAAGCTTTTCCTACCAAAGTAATTTTAATTGAATAGGAGAGAAAGTTAACATATTAATGAAGCTTTGTTCAGATTGCAAATTATCATCTGAGGTTTAAATAATATAATTAATAATGGCATAATGATAGTAGCAAAAGAGCACATTTGGTAAAGTTTTTTTATCAAAATTAGCAACAAAGAGACAATCAGGTTAAAATAGCTTAAGGGATCATGAAATCAACCAGGAAAAAGTTATCATACCAAAATTCACCCTCACCTGTAGAACCAATAGACCATGTAATATTGAGGTTGAAGTTGTTTGATGCATTAATTGATATATCCAAATTTTTATTTGACTATATAAAAAAAAAAAAAAGAAAATACATTGAAGTTAACAAAATATACCAGAATGTATTGAATACAACTCTATTGCACATAACCTTTCAATATAGCCTTTTAATCATCTTCCATTTTTCATTTTAAACATAAACAGAAATGGCAATAATTCAGAGCCAAAGGCAATCCTCTCTTTGCTTCAGTGAGAACAGGGTGCAGGTAAGCATGTAACTACACCAGTTACCTTTTCAGAATGTGATGAAAATAATGAAATCATTTTCTTTATAAAACTAAAGAAAAATTACACGGCAAATGGCTACATTTTAATTACAATCCAAAAATCACTTTTCTACAGATTTCTTAACTGAAGGGTATACTCAGGAAGATACTAAACTTGTTATTCATGGGAACAATAATAAAATGAACCGGCTGATCAGTTTTTGGAGTATTAGTTGATCTGAAGAACATCTACCATTTCGAAAGTTTTCTCAGTGAATTCACTCAGTTCTCAAAAAACCTTGAAATAGCTCTAATACCTTATAGGCACTTGGGAAGCCTTTAATCATGATCAACCACAATTTAAATCTTAATCATGAGTCTCCAAAACTTGTCTAAAGTTAGTAACATTTTCTTACCTGTTCTGGATTTGCTATAAAGTTTATGGCAGTGTGATGGCGATCATCCTCTTGTAATAAGCTGAAGGTAAACTGGTAATCAATCAAAAGGCTGTCTGTGGACAAAACAGAAATTAAAAATAACAAAATAGATTCAAGTGTATACTTATGAATAATATGTTAGGCAAGCACCTAAAAATTTACTGTTCACTTTTACTTTACAAAGCATGGGGTAATCTACAAGTCAGAATTCTTCACATGCATTTCACTGTTTAAGTACTTGCACTATAATGTCTTGAAGAAATAACAAAAAAAAATTAAGAAAAATAACCAAATTAAGAAACAAATTCCATCACAGAGTCAGAGCAGCTCTTACACATAACTTGAAATAGTCATTCTTTGTAAAGTAATTATTCCAAAATACAGTATCAAGTACTGTTAGTGTTATCAGTTCTCTAATTTTACTCTGAAATAATTATTCAAATATTCTGTTCAAAATGCATTTAAATATTTTAGTCATACACTTTACTTTGTAATACAAACGGTTTACACAGATACATTACTATAACACATTTTAGAATTACTAGTTTTAATTTTTTTTTAAAGGTTGCATTTACACTAAAGTGTAGAAAGTACGAAGGCATGATACAACAGTGAATAACATTGCTAATAATAAAATGGCACAGTGAAATTTTGAATAGAAATTATGAGACCACAAAGCACATCCTTTCTAAATTGCCAGAATTCTGAGATTTTGTAAGTGGCAAGTAATACAAACTTTTCATACAAGAGAAACAAGTGGCAGTTTAGTGATGACTCACAAAGATTATATTTCACTTCCAAATGTCATTTGTTCTACCCATTTTTCTTTCAACCTCTGAAAGGCATGGAGTCTGCCAGGCCGTTCCTAATCCTCCCATTTCTGCCACCACACACTAAGAGCACTCCCCTGTGGCCAGCTACACTTGGCATCGGTGCAGAAGGGAGAAAAGGCCACCCTCAGATGCCCCAAACCATGCTTAACCCTTCCTGGAAGGAGCATAAAATGAATGGGACAAGTCAGAAGACATAACTTCTGAGCTATCCCATTGTTCCTGAAATTGGAGGAATGAGATTAACCCTTGATCAGGTCATAGCACTAGCAATGACTGAAAAGGAACTTTTCTGCAGGGCGAAGGGGTAGAGGTGGATTTGTCAGGGTGAAGCAGGTTTCTAGCACATCCATGATGTAAGAAAAAGACCCAGTCACCAGGGATGACTGTTGCTGCAATGCATAGAGGGTGCCATGTAGACTCCCAGCAGGCAATGGTCAGTGCAGTCAGGTAGTCAAGAACCAGCAGAGCCCTCAGAGACGTCAATTGTGTCAGCAGATTAATAATCCTTGTGCAACAGACAGTCAGTTGTGAAACAGAGGTGGGTGCAGTGGATAGATCTTGAGTGCTCTGTTACTGAGGCAGATACCTTCAGACCTAAGAGAATAAACGTTCTAACTCCTTGACCACTATGGTTCTACAAGGATCAAAAGATTCCAGTTTTCCCTCTGTCACAGGAAATAATGAGGTTACTTGTAAGTGTGTATGACTCAGATTATTATTTTCTGCATATTAAAATATGCAAGTCATCTTTGATGCTAAATCCTAGTGAATAATTTTGAAGCCCTATTTGGATTCCTGTCTTGATGACATTCTACTAGTCACCAACACCACACAAGCAGCGTGTTCCAAATAAAAAATATGTGATCATAAAAACAAAATCAGTAAATACAAGAGAGTGAAAGATTAAGTCAAAGCAGGAAAAAGCTGTGTCAGCCTTTTGCTGGACTCAACAGTTTGCTTATTGCTGACAATCACCTTTTCTGCAGCAACACATCATCTGAAAAAATACATTCTATTGTATCCCATGGGAAGCCTGACATAGGAGAAAAAAAGCTTACTGGTCAGTGAAGCATGAATACAGCCCGCTGCAGTGTCTTATTAGTTAAAGAGAACGATTTTAGTTGTTTGGGGTTTTTGTTGTGTTTTTTTTTTTTTTTTTACACTGAGTGTGGAAAGAAAATTAGAGAATAAAGGAGTTACACAAAAGGAATTACCATGAACTTTAAAGCTGAAAAGTCCACTTTCTGTATTATTCACCACCACATTTCCATTATTCAAATATGAATAAGTTGATCTAGATGTCTTAGATAACAAGTTCTGATCAGGTTTTTGCAAGCTTATCAAGGTGAAGATGAATAAATATTAAACTAAACCCTATTTATTTTTGAATACTGCTCCACACTTCTATAACTATGCAAATCTAATTAATAAAGTCTCATTGACTCTATTAGTAACAGTGTGCCATATCTGTATATTTAATAGTAAGATTGCTATTGCACCAGAACATATTTAAAGGTAGCAGGACAGCAAAAGATGGCAAATAGAGATTAACCCCTATTAAAGGGATTAAATAAACTCTTTAATAATAAGGAGTATCAAGGCCAAAAGGCTAGGAATAATGTACAGATACGCTAAGTCTCCTGATCTGGTCAACTTGGGGTCCCACAAAAGACAAATGACTGCTTTAGCATGAATCTTCGCAAACAGAATTATTGTAAGTGTATGGTGGACTAGCACCACAGCACACACTCCTGCATCTTCTGGCTACTGCAAAAGCCACAAGATGCCAGAAGCAGTGTAGACAGGCCTTCTGGACAAGATGTGGTTGATCTGCTCACAATATATGGAAAACGACCATTTAAAAATGCCATAGTCTTCTCAGTCCAGATTGTGCCCTCTCAGAGATGCAGAGTATCAGCCAAAGACCAGCAGTGATACATAGTTAAGATCTCAACATAACGCAAAATCGGGAATAGACATGGGACTCCTGTCTCCCAATCATATGAATGAACAGCTTTTCTGCATACAAGTTTAAAAAAATTCAAAGTCATTTACTCTTAAGTCAATATAACTACTTTTTTCCCGGGGTTTGTTGTTGTAGCTGTTGTTTTGTTGTTGGGTTTTGAGGTTTTTTATGTTTATTTGCTAAAAGCCAAGAAAATAGGAACTTGTTTTTCAAGGAATGCAGGAAAAGTTCTTACATTGATAAACAATGCTAAACTATACAGTTCCTCCTAACTTTACCATCTGTAACAAAACAGAAAAATACTTCCACTTTCTTGCTGCAATTTTACCTACAATACTATTAAAACAGTAAATCATGACAAACAGTAGGAGTTGGTGATGCATAGCACCTTTAATACTGAAGACATCTCCAAGTATTTTATGGTGCTATCAATTTGTTAATTACTTAATTATTGGTTAATTAATTAGATACTCCATTAATAGTATCGAAGATAGTTATATATCCCACACTGTAGCCATTATCTCTTCTGTAGTACTCAAAGAGCCTTAAACAACACAGCTTCTGTTATTCGAGTTCGAGAGCCAACACACAGAACTCGCTCTGGAATTCTTCAAAGGACCTTTAATTTACGCCAAGCCAGCCCTACAAAATAGGAAGAGGAGATCTTCACTAAACTATTCACAAGGAGCACATTTCTTAGCACTAACAAACACAAATCATGAAGTTTTTATTCCGCAGAGACCTGCAGTAGAGGGATACATCATTAAAACTCTATCTTGGCCACAGTGGATGCTGCAAAGCAGAAATACATATCTCTTCATAGGTGATTCTAATTCATGGAAGTTACTAAAGTGTGTACGACTAGAATGGAGAGCACTGCCTAATGCAGTTATGTGACTGAACAGTGCAAATGAAGTCCGGTGCAAATGAAAGAGCTGACACTGAGCAAACAGTCCTCCCCATCTTTCTGAGGACTGCAAAAGTATGCTGAAGAAGTCTCACAGCTTGGAGAAAAGATTGTTTTCATAGTGAGGATATTTCTGGCTGGCCAAAACTTTGAAAAAGATTTCTCTGGACCTATTCTTAATTCAAACATCCCAAATCTCTGGAAGGCTCTAAAGCTAGATTTTATTAGAATATTGTCCTGGTTTGGCTGCGATAGAATCCCAGCCCAGCCCTGCTGGCAGGCCGTTAGCAGTTTGAGTCAGCCAGGGCAGCTGACCTGAGTGAGCTGCAGGGGTAGCCCATCCCGTAACGTCATGGTCATTGTAAAGGGGGAAGGTTTGCTGAGGAGGGGGAGCTCCTGTGGGGTTCCTCCTGCTGACTGCTCTCCTGTCAATTGTGACTGCTGCATGTTCATTCGGCCAAGTATAACTCTGCATATCTCTGGTGGTATTGGTGGTGTTTCACTAGATCTGTTTCACTTCTACCCATGTGTCTGCTCTCCTTTTTCCTGATTCCCCTCCCTGGCTGGTGAGGGCCCATGGGGTTATAGAATAACTGTTACAGTTTAACCTGATTTATGGGCTAAATGTAGACAAATACAAATAAGACAAATAAAAACCCTGGATATGGGCTAAATGTAGACAAATATAAACTAGTAGAGCTAATTTAAGAGGAAACTCAAAGAGAGAGTAGAAATTAGAAGGCATTATAAAGAAGTCTCTTCTCCATCTATTGCATCCGGCTGCTGACTGTCTTCCTCTCCTTCCTCCCTCTCTCCATCTGTTTCAGCCTATACCATAGGAGAGACTTCCCCCACATGTATTCAGAAGCTCTCAGGGAAAATATCATCTCCCTCTCCTCCAGAAGGCTTCACTTTCTACAGAATGCAGCAGGCAGAACAGCTTTTCTGCCCACTGCCAAGCCCCATCCCGGACATAACCCTAAAACATACTCTATGCCAATACACTGTAAGTGCACATGAATAAACTAAGCAGTTACACAATACATCACACTGTATTTCCCAATTCATCGTGCTGTTAGCTTAGACAGCTTAGCCTGGAAATAAATACAAAATTTAAAGTAAACTTTAGTTGTAAGTGTAGGACCTGTTCTGAATAGTTAAACGTATAAACAGCCAAATGGATAAAAACTACATGTAGAAATAGCTATTTAAAGTACATTCAGTATCTTGATACATATTATTGTGTATATTTTCAACCACGAATTTAGAGAAGCCTGAGATTTTACTTCATGGGGTTTTGTTTCGATTTTAAAAAGCCACCATAAGTATTTTATCCCTTTACATAAACACTAAGACTTTTCATAAGTG